CATAATTTCACGGACTTCATTTCGAACAGTTGCGTCTTCTCTGCTGTGATAAGCTTGTTTCAAACCCTCGGCTATAACACGTCTCCAAATAGCTTGGCAAAGATGAAACAAGCAGCATCTCACAACAGCCTCAGGGAAAGTATGCGTAGCAGCATTGATGGCTTCGGACTCGAAATCCAAAATAATTACTTGAGGTCGTAGAGGTGAGCCCAAGGTATCACACAAATCGGTTACAGCCTCGAAAATCGTTCTGTAAGTCTGTTCAGTTTTGCGAACGCAAAGGCAAAACACGAGTGGAAAAACATGTCCCATAATCACCCCATGTAGCGTGTGAAGTTGTTGAAATATTCCTAAAAACATCCATTAAAAATAAATCATAAAAGCTGTGTCTAAAGCTGCAATCAGAGATAAATACACGCTTTCTTTCGGGTGCACCCGTCGGGTTTTGCATCCATTCATCCCTTGTAAAACTTGAACATGATTTTTCAGCTTAATGCTGATTTTTAACGCACGTTGGCTGACCAATTTCATCATACTGTCTTACGACCCGTGCATCTACCGCGATCATTGTGCGTACTTCATTAACTTCACAAAGAGGCCATCACTGCAAATCTTCTATCCGCATGGACCCCCCATTTGGCCGTGCACTGTGGGCCAGAGGTGCCGGTTGCGCGAGAATAATTGATATCTCGGCTAAATCCGAACGAAAATCACTAAGTTTTGGTTTACGGGGGTTTTTTGGGTCGCTGAACTCGAATTTGATATCAGATTTTTTCAAAAATCACAAGAAAAGTATGTTATGAGGATATACGCTAGTCCAGTGATGATTCCTTTTTATGAGCAATCTCACTGAGATTAGGAATCATTTTAACGCTGGAGAAACTTTCAGAAACAAAATTGAGAACTTGGATGTGACCAAGAAGAGTCTGGAAAACGATCTAATATTGTTAAAATTAGAAGTATAAAAGACGAGAATGTTCACCTAGGAACGCTTTACATCTTAATTTTTTTTTTCTTTTTGGTCACTGTCTCCTCGTATTATTGGTTCTTGTGGGTTACCATGTTTAAGTGAAAATAATTNAGTGGCATTGTCATAAAAAAAATCATAATAAAAGCGTGGGAAGTTACAACAACATTATATAAGTGTTCATTTAATATAAAGGACCCAACATTTATAAGCTCAGAACGAATAATTATACTAAAAGAAGTTCCAATTAATCCCCTTCAAACACCAAAAATAAAATATAAAACACCGATATCTTTGTGGTTAGTCGAAAAAGCTCAAACTTTCATAATTATTAATAGTTAAAGAAATATAACGCTAAATAGGGAAGGGTCGCAGAACAGAGAACGAATGATATGTTCCGTAGATTAGTCAACCTTTTTAAAAAGATAGGATAAACGCCTCTGAATCCCAGTCCCCATGTTGGGATTACATGAACTTCGTCTATTACTACCTTTAAATTATGAGGCTCGTCCTCAGCCACCGGAAGGTTCCTTTTTGTTGCGGTGACGAAGTGTGTTAGCGTCCAAACCCCAGAAACAACACTTATCAAGTTTGTTGCGTCCCAGCTGGGGTCCCCGTTCGAAGCGTAATATATCCTTTTAGCAGGACACAATGTCGGGTTCAGGTCCAGGTACGTGATTACATGTCGAACATTCTGAAACAGAAATACAAAGTGATTATGTACACGAGGAGGTTTATTTCTGTATTAGGAGAGGCGGGCGTTTCATCGTAACACATCACCGCTGACGAGGTCGGAGGCTTGGTACGCAAGTTGTCTATTAGAAACACAGATGATAATATGAATTTTATTGGGCGGCCCTGTTTGCGCGGCGGAGCCCACCTCGTATGTCTTCTGCTAATTGTGTATAGAAATCCCACGTAAGGATCTGGCTGAGAGTGATGCCTTTTTTGACGTAGTCCCTCNGGGGGGGGGGGTTCCTTGGTGTGAGGGCATTCCCGCGGGCGCCCCGGGCATTCACCTCGTTTTTGTGGTGGTGGACCTGCTCATCGCCATTGACCACCGTCGGAAAAAGATGCCCCCCCCCACCCATTGGCCCCCTCTCGAGGCCCCAATTTTGACGACTTATACATAAAAGCCCAGCTAACTCCCTTTTGGCTTTTGGCGTTCATAAGGGGCGTTGCGACATAGATGCTGATAAGCAACCATACGGATTCCCCAATTCAAACTATTGTATCTTTCTCAAAGCAGTTATTTTTTATTTGTATTATTTTCCCTTGGTTATATATACAACGTAAAACACTACTTTCGTTTCAATTAGTTTTTCCCAATTAACAGACTTATCATTTAATACACTTAGATTGATATACAGTCTTATATTTCATTCTTGACGCTGTCTGGTTACTACACTGTTTTGTGTTCACTTTTATTTTGTGTCAATTATTTTTCTTATCTTTGATGTTGAATTAATAATAATTCTCCCATTTGTGTTTTGTTTTAAACTATTTAATATGATAAATATATTTATAATAATCTATCTACTAATATTGTTTATCATTCTCAGATTTTAATTTCATAAGAAAATGAATATAACTTATTAAGAAACACTTATAAATTAGCTCACAGTGTTTACATTAATGAAAAAATTATAAGACAAGAATTCACATCAGAAAAAATTAGAAGTTGGAACCAAAATAATGGACACCCATCTTCTCTGGGAAAATGTCGAACCCACTACTATATGCGATTGGCCTGAGCCTTCACAAGGATGCTGGTGATCAAGATTGGCACATTTCGGTCCATTTTTTATATTTGGGGCAGGGGGCTATAGTTCATCATAAGGGGGGGGGGGGGG